GGGGAACGGCTCCCACTGAGGGCTTTCCCATCCCTGCACCTGGCACAGCCCACCTGGGGATCCCCCCCAACTCCTTCCTCAGCTGGCTGCTGGCCAAGGAAGCGGCATGGCCAGGAGACCAGCCCAGCTCCTGGCTCCAGGTGGGAGGGGGTGGAGAACCACCATGCTGGGGGTTCCCCCCACTTCTCCCACACCAGGGTGACCCCGGGTGGGGGGTCTAGTGCCAGGCAGAGGGGAGGAACTCCCCCTCCCCCCCGTCCTCAGCCACCCCAGATGTGGAGGGGACATTGCTAGGGGGACTGGCTCCAGGCATGGGGAGAGAGAGGAAGAGGTGCCCTGCTGGCGAATCCCGCCCCCATAGAGGACACCCTGTCTGGGGTCCAGGGGGAGGAGCAGGTTTCCCCTCAGGCCTGCTCCTCAGCCTGCCCAGACTCAACTCTGGGCACAGAGAGAGAGAAACACCCACTAGGGGCTTCCTTCCTCTTCCTTCTCCAGCACTAGGGAGACCCCAGCTGGAGGTCTGGTACAAGGGCTCCCAAGTCCCCTCCTCAGCTGACTGGAGGCAAAAGAAGAGGCACGGCTGGGGAAATTGCCCATCTCTCCACTATCGGCAGACTGGGAGGCGAGTCCTAGTGTCCCCTGGCTCCTGGTATGGGCCACTGCAGGAGTCTGACTCCCTTTCACATTTGAAAAGCGAACATGAGTTCACTTTCTTATTCGTTCAATCTAAGCAGTTTACAGAAACCTACAACGATTGAATCAATTCAGCCTTGGGCTTTTTGGCTGTCTGTCCCTAGCCTCAGAGTCAAACTTGTTAAGTCTTTTTAGATTACTTAGCAAGGATACAAACTGACCATGACACTGGATTTTCCCTTATAGGATTTATTACTCAGTAGAGCTCTTATCTGACACGCTAGCCATCTTCTGCTCTGTCTTAATTTTTAAGCACAGCTAGGCAGACTGAGTGAATTGCCTGAGTTGAATGAACACTGGCTAATGGATTTGAACTCAAAACCATCCTGACTCCCAGCCTGCTGTTGTAACAAAAAATGCAGTACAATATAATTTACAATGGCTTGAAACATAGGGTTCAACTTCTATATCTACAGAGAGGAAATCCAAACTGATTAACTAACAAGGTCATGCTTTAGGAGATTGTTCCCAGTCTCCTGATACTTAGCTCCTGAAACCTAGCTTACTGGGTTTTAAATAGCACATAAATGTGATTCCAAAAATAATGTTCAAATTTCTTTCTTCCTCATCTTTGGCTAATGCTACTGCAAAACTTCTACATGGGAAGATGCAGATACTTTTTTGAATACATCTACAAGCTTCCTTTTAATCAAATTCAAGCCTCATACCTGAACTTTCACAAGCCTGATCTATAATGATTTTACCTACATCTCTACTCTTAGGCCTCCCTGTTACATCCTGATCTAGCCAGTGGCCTTCCTTTGTGCTCTGTCTACCACTCATCTTATGCTTCCATCCAGGAGCAGATCCAGAAGGGGTGCAGTGGTATGGTCACATCCCCTTTCAGACCATGCTGCAGGGGAATTTTTTTAAGTCCCTGAAGCAGGTAAGAATTCCCACCCTACTTCCCCTCTATTCTCAATGACATGTCCCCTCCCCTCCCTTCCCAACCTCCTCCTCACATACCTGTTTGCTGCCACTGTCCCTGTAGTGCCAGACTGCATTAGGGAACAGGGCTTAGCCTGGGCAACAATAGTGGCAGCAGGCAGTTTCCTCCCCTCCTTGCCTTCTCTCTCCAAGGTGTTCCCTGTCAGGTAAGGACGGATGCAGGGACGGAACCTTCCACCACTGCTGCTGCTGTGCCTGACTGAGCCTGGCTCCCCATACAGCCTGGCTGGAGTGGAGCAGGAACAGCTCTAGAGCTCCTCCCATCCCCCAGGCCAGCCACAGACAACAACAGCAGCAGCAGATGGGTGAGGGGTGAATGGGAGGGGAGATGCTGCTGAGCATGGTGGGTAAGAAAAAGGGTGCCGGGAGTGGTGGTGAGTGGTGGGGACTCTTACCTGACCTAAGGACTTAAGGTTCTGCCACCCTTGCAGTGCTGTCCTGTTCTCCCTTTTGCAGAATGTTGGATGTGCCCAAGCTTCCATCTCATGCTACTTATGACTTTGAACTCTAAATTCTCTATCACTTGCCACTCCTCATTCAAATTCCTCTTAAACACACCTCTTCCACTGAGATGATGAATAGCTACTGCAACTGCAGTCTGTTATATCCCAGTGATGTGGACAGGTTATCAATTCATGTTAAAACTGCCAAAGTCTGTGCAGCTTCAAGTGTGATAACCAACATTACAACCTATGACATTAGATAATTATGTAGCATTTGAATTTGGGCCCCGACATTGGTGTTGCTGAAAAGAAATGAGTGGAGGCTGCAGTTCCCTGGAGTTCTCCAGGACTTCTCATAGGCATCAGGAACTGAGGTGGGGACACAGAGCTCTGATGCTTGAAGCTTTCAATGTTGGGGGTGGTAAGGTGGGTGGAGGACACAGACAAGAATTTGTGTTGGACATGGGAGTTGCCAGAGCAGTCTGAGCTCTGGCCAGGAGAACACAAAGGCTCATGCTCCCATGTCATTTCCTCAGCCAGATGGGAGTTTCACTCTCCCTTCCTCCAGAGCTAGGCTGCATCTTTTACTCTCCCTCAAAGAGGACTGATGCAGCCAAGAGTGCTCCTAACCCCATCTAATCTGTCTCCACATTAGCTGCTTACACCCTTTATTCTGCTCATGAATCCGTCCTGTTCCCCCAAAAGTCTCTTTCTCCTGAAATGTCTTGCACCACCACCTTTCTATCCTCTTTTGTTTCCTCCATGCAGTCCTTGATCTCCCCTACTGAAGCAATGACATGGTACAGCTACCAGCCCCTCTGTTGGGCACCACATAGTTTGGAAGGTAGGAGCAGAGAGTCGGGGAGCAAAAGGGTGTGCTTAGCTAGTGTGCCAGTGGCCTCTGGTGGCAATCAGTCTGAACTGCAAACTCAAGCCTCCTGCTTACCCAGAGCCCAGCTTAAGCTGTGGCTTGCACAAGATGCAAGACACAGCAGGTCTTTCAAGTTCTTATGGACAAGGGCAGTCTTGTTTTCCTAGGCATTCTGCACGGTGCCAGACAAACAACTTTGTTTAGTTTAATAAAATAATTAACAAATTAAGTTGTTTGGGTCGCCATATAATTATTGCTCATTTTCTTCATGTACTGATTTCAGGGAGTCTGTAACAGCAGTAACAACATTAACAACTTCCTGCCCCAGCTGGCTTTGGACAGGGAAAACAACACTAAGCAAACATGGCTGTTTTGACTAACAAACAACGCCAGTAATTCCTGGGGTTAGGCATTTCCTGGCACTGGATGGCCACCTGCATTCAGCTCCTCCAACTGCCAGGAACTGCTCCAATCTGGAAGTCACAGTAAAGTGAATCTATATCCATGGACCAGTGAAGTCTGCACATACTGATCTGTAATGGCTTTTTTTGAGGGGCTGAAGAATACCTATCACTCCTGCATGAATCCCTCAACTGAACAGGAGCCCGAATTTACTTCTGATTCAACTGCTTGAATAAGTGGTACTCCCATGGAGACCAATGAGTACTCAAAATTCTCCTCCTATAGCTCACAGCCTTGTCTGCTTCCAGCATACTGCATGCTTCTGTACTCCTGATTTCAGAGGAGCAAAGGGACATTCAATGAAATTAAAATGGTGAGAAATTCAAAACCAATAAAAGAGATCACCTTGCGCAAAACATATAATTATGATGTGGGATTCTACCATATGGGAATGTGCTGAGGCCAAGAACTTACCATAATTGAAAGACTGGATATTTGTGTGGAATGCAAGACTTTCCAGAACTATATTAATTAAGGACAATGCACATTTTTGGGGAGAGATTCAACACTGTGCTTCAGGATATGTTCCACTCCCTAATTTACTGAGATCAAGTGGGATGCCAGATTACTCCACATAGGCCTACTCGAGCATCTAGTTCTGGTCAACAGCAGAGTCAAGATACTGAATTAGAAGGACCTTGGGTCCCATCATTGCTTCATTCCACACAGGCCCTCCCATTTCAACTCACCTCCTGTTCACAGACTGAGGCAGGGGTCTGGCTCATCCAACAAGACAGAAATGGATCATGTCAAGAATCCTGGATACAGGAGAAGGGAGGGGAGATATCCAAGTGTGGGGAACTGCAGTTCCCACATCTCACCTTGCCTTTCAGCAGCCAGAAATCCTCCCTTCTCTCCAGAAAAGCTCCTGAACCTTATCCTCATAGTAGTGACAACACACAGTTGTTGTTAAAGCACCTTTCATTAACAGCTCTCAAAGTGCACTGCAAAGCTGGGTTACAATCACTGCCATGAAACAGATGGAATCTATGGAACAGAATCATAGAATCATTGCCACTCACAGAGGTTAACTACCTGGTTCCCGATCACAAAGCATGGCAGTGGCCAAACCAGGGATTACCTAAGCCATCCTAAGGCTTACTAAAAACAGGTCAGCAATAAGAAAAACAATTCTCACACAGGTTTTTTTTTTTTAATCAATCAAGTAAAGAATAATCCATGGATCCAAAGCATCGCAGTATAATGCAGATTTAAGAAGGGGCTGAGAAAGGGATTAAAAAGAATGACTCATTACTCTTTCATGCTCAATTTTTATTTCAATGTTATGCAACAGCATAAGTATAAATATTTTTGTTCAATATACAACAATTATGACATCCATAGGGAGTTTCTTAGAGAAAATAAGACTGCAAACACTTTATTGCACAGACCCTAACAAACTGCTTTTGTAAGCTGAGAAATCTACAGCAGGAAGTCTACAAAGGAACACATCATAACCTACTATCACGCAAAGACTGACCAGATAGTACACATGTAGGAAGATCTCTAATAGCTCACTGGTAAGGTAAACACCAACAAACACATACTACGTGAACGCAAGCTTAAGCACTGTTACGCTTCAAAAACAACAACAAAAAACACCCAACCAAAAAACAAACAAAACCCCCCACCTTATTTGGCAGAAATCGAATGCGCTATACAAAATATACATAAAAAGATACATTTGTAAACAAATAGCTAGATAATGCTTTAAAGCAAACAAAAGGGCAGTTTAAAAAAAAAATGCAAAAGACTGTAAACTAGGAAATACCTCTGAGACAGAAATGTCATGATACCTAAGTGCACTAGTGTTCGGTTATAACAACTGGCAAAGCACAGTTATTCTGCAAATGTTGAGACCACCTCTCTCACCAAAAATCTTCAAAATATTTTCTTCTGATCACTGTATCATCTATAAATGCATAGAAGGGAAAATGAATGTCCTAGTGTGCCACATGAAAAATCATTAGGACTGTCTTGCAATTTTATCATTCCATCAGGGATTCATTGCAGTGAATCCAAACCTAGCTAATCAGCAGAATAAATCCTTTTCTAGGGGGAAATGAATTTAGAACTCTGGCAGGTGTCTTGCAAACCTCCAAGCCAAAATTACACTATGCTTATGAACAAGTTTAGAGCTCTAAAGACAAAGATATTACAGATGAAACTCACAGATTAGCTCTTACATGGGTATTTATAACAGAAATAATTAAAAATACCATTTTACTGAGCCCAGTCATTTAAAACCTCTCACCCATATTTCTGTTGTGCTCCTGCACATTTCAAATTTTACCTTTTGTCCTTCAGAACAAACCAAATACTTCCACACTAAAATGATCAGACAAATTCTACATGTTCCACAGTATACAAAATTTAAATAAGGCTTAGCAAAAGTAAAAAGACAGTCACATTCTAGCACCAAATAGCTCCAACAGGTCCTTTTGTTACAAAAATGCTTTTTTAAAATTACAATATTTACTTTTTTGCATACAAATAAAGAGTTCATGTTATGAAATGTATGGAGCTACTCAATGCCTTTAGAAATGAATGTGAAACCAAGGATTACTTGCTAAAAACAGCAAGTTTAGTCTACAACATAAGGCCCCAGCTATGTATTAAAATGCATCGGATGTCCTGATCTTTTCTGAAGATATGATACCGACACCACTTTTTCCTTTTTACCACAATTGTCATAAAACCGAAAAAAGCTAACTACATGAAGCTGATTACTCTAGCCTATATGCTGTGATAATTCACACTTTTTACATTCATTAAGAAACAGGGATGGCCATTGTACTGCAACTCTGTGCTTCTACTTGTGCCTCACACTATAAAGGCCTGAATTTAAAAAACCTAAGGAAACCAAGAGTTGCAGCAGAAACTCAGCACACCTGTGCTTTGAAGTCTCAGCCTTGTCCAAGGTGAAGGTCCCAGAGCACATTCCCTAAGGACAAGATGAGAACATCGGTTTCACCAGATAACACTACACTTAACAGACTGTAGTGAAAAATGGAGGCTTCTCCCTTGCTTTTTAATTATGTCTGTCCCAAGATGTGGTTAGGTCTTATATTACATCTGGTGAAACTATCCAGATACAGTACTATCAAAATTTCTGGTTGTTAAAAATATGCATAAAAACTCCTATTCGGTCACTGTACTTACTCTTTTCTACTTATTGTTTTGAACTTTACCTAGACTTTTTAACAAGTAAAAATGCGATATTTTTTTCCCTTTCAATCAGACCAATATTTTTACGTCTTTAACTTAGGTCTGAGTATTAGTAATTTTGCTTCGTAGTTGATTGTGGCAAATAAGTGGCAAGCAACTATCTTACAAAAAAAAATTATAGTAAACAATCCGCTCAGCAGCAAAGTATTTACGCTACATTCCAAACCAAAAACACAGCACTACGTATTTACAGAGGAAATTTTTCTTCAACAATTCTCAACTGTAAAGGTATTTTTGTACAAATACATAGGGTAACAGTTTTACCGGTTACATTTGGGAAGGCATTTGGAAAAAGGTCCTCTTTCTATACACCCTGCCCTCTACTTCAGTGGCATGAAAGCATTGCCGCATGAAGATATCACACAGTGCTGGTTTCAGAAGGTAGTGAAGACACATTAACAATTTCAGGTAAAGTCTGCAAGTCCTATCTGCCTGGTGCTGCTATTAAGAGGACTTTTTGTGAGGGCTGCTCCGGGCAGCATCCTTTCCTCGCCTCTGCCGTGCTGAATCTTTATCAGAAGAAAGTGCATGAGGGCGGTCAGGTGTGGTCACTGACCTAGGGATATCTTTACCTACATTCAGTTTTCTTGTAGAAGGAGGCTGGGCCTGACTGGTGTCTTTTCCTTTTACATCCACAGTGTTGTTAGAGGAAAGAGACCTCTCTTGATTTCCAGATTTCCCCCCAAGGTTTGAAGCAGGATGAAGTGCTTCTGGTGGGAGAGCAGCACTAGGCAAGGTCACGAGTGAAATACTTTTAGTCATTACCATCTTACCATCCCCTGTAGAACAGCTGGTTGGCTTTTTCAGTTCCTTAGAGCTTGCTACAGGAACCTCTGGCAAGCTGCCCTGAACCTTGGTTGAAGAGGCATCATTGTTTGCTGAAGAGAAAACAGATGCTTCTTGCTTGCATTCAGGGAAACTAGGTGGACAAATCAACTGCTTTGCTGGGGTTGCAGCTGCACAGCATGAACTCTGCACAGTGGCAGATGATGGATGTTTTGTTGCAATCTGCTTGCTTGCATCTGTTAGCTGTTTCTGATTCACCTGCCCTTTTCCTTTTGAATCTTGAGAGCCTTTGCTCCCTAAGGTTGCTTTTTCTGCTCCTTTCCCTCTGGCATCACAGTTCACGAGGGAAATGCTGGGCTCCAATTTCCCATTGTCATTTTGAACATAAAGTGCTTCAGTGAATTTTTTTCCTTCGGGTCTTTTGTCTGCAGAGATAATATGACTACTTGGGCTCTTGTCTGCCTGTTTGCTCAGAGAGAGAGAGTCCTTCACAGTGGAAAACTTTGGAGGCATGCTTTGCTTTTCACTTGTGTAAAGTTGCTTTTGATCAGCAAGCTCACTGAAGCCTGCTGGTTCTGGCCTTTGAGATGGCTTAATGTTTTCTGGGATGGCAGATACATGGCCAATACAAGAGGGTTTGGATTTGCTCTCAGAAGTGCTTCTATCACTTTGAATTGCAGATACTGATGCACGTTCCAAAACCACAGGCCTGTCTACCTGAACATACTCATTAGTTAGTCTTCTCTCAGAGCTTGAAACAAAACAAGGGGGATCTTGCATACTTTTACTGGCAGGCTTCCCATCTTTCCGGGAACTGGCAGAGGGCTGAACGAGTACCTCTTTTTCTTTTATGTTAGCAGTGCATTGTTTTTGTGACAATGTTACTTTGTCAAAGGGTTTAGACTTAGAGGAACTTGTGTCAGGTACCTGCCTGGATTTATTATTGCTCGTTTCCATAGATGGTGTGCCAGGCTTGACCTGCTCTTGAACACCTACATGAGCATCTACACGGTTCCTATTCACAGACTCTCTTACAGAAGAGGATCCTGAATAGCTAAGTTGCTGCCCAGTAGCCTGGTTGAGCACCAGTCTCTCAGCTGTCTGAAGCTGTGTGTTGCTGGACTGTTTCAGCTCTTTCTTTCCCCAGTCTTTGGAGTTGTCCTTCTGTATAGATGAACCCAGCAAAGACTTTTCACTTTTAGGATCAGTGTTTGTAGATGGCTGCACTGACCTTTTGGACAAGGAAGTTTCATTCTTTGAGTCTGTGATAACTTTCTGCTTGTTCACATTCTTCTCTACAGAAACACCAGCAGGGTTAGCACCATCTTTAGCAACTTGTTTTGGCGACCCTTTGCCATCTTTAGGTTCTGCCTTTAAGCCAGGTGTCTGCAATTTTGTCGCATTTGTCTGAAGTGGGACTGCAAAATCAGCAGAGATTCTCTGAATGATTTTGGATTCACTTGTAAAAACATCGCCAACGGACAGCTTCACAGGCAAATCTCTGTTCACCTCAGCCTTTGCAGGGAGAGATTCAGAATTTCTTTGGGCCAGAGGGTACTTGATTGGCAACTCCCTTTGGGTTTGTCTCTGTTTTCCAACAGCTTTTTCAGGAAAATCCTGGGCTGTGGAAGCCTTGGAGGATGTTGGGACAGGCTTGGCACACTGATGTTGAACAGCTTGTGATTTTGCCTCAGCTGCATGATCTGCCTGTTTTGAATAGGAGTCCTCTCTTTTTTGATTCACTTCGTTGACTGAGAAACTGCATTTAGCACTTGGGTGAGAAATCCTTTTCTCCCTTTCTACTTCTGTGGTCACAGGGATTACAGGTGAATTCGGAGAACCCTTCCTTGATTGTAGGAGTTGGGGCTCAAGGAGGTTGGATTTGTTAGACTCTGAACAGGATAACAGCAACTCTTTCTGACAGGGCATGTCTCTATTTATACCACTGCCTTGAGATGCTTGAGGCATGGAATATCCCACACTGCTGCTGGTACTCGGACCTTCTGGCAGGGCACATACAGGAAGATCTGTTTTTGAAGTCTGTGGCCCAGATAGTAAGGCAATATCTAAAGTGCCTTCAATTGGTTTCAGACAAGAAACTGATCTTCCTTCCAGTTTATACTCTGATGGACTTTTTCTGACAGGAGACTCAGTAGTAATCAAGGATGATTTTTCCACACCAGTTTCCACTCGGCCATTCAAGGCTTTGAGGGGAACAAAAGAAACTGAGCTAATCTGAGCAGCATGAGCACTGCTGATAAATGCTCTACTATCAGCAGCTGTAGTGGAATCCTGCTGTATATTTATGGGTCTTACTGTATTAAGTTGAAGGCATTCATGAACATTTGAAGTCAGCTTGGTCTTTAGCACTGGACAGAGGCTGTCATCTTTTTCTTCAAAGGACATTTTCTTCCTGAGATAATCAATATTTGCAAGCTTACCATCTAATCTTTCAAATTTGATTAAGTCTTTTGTTGGAACATTTTTATCTGCATTTTCCCCCTTTCCATTTAGCATTCTGTCAGTGGAGTGAGGTAGCACATCTTGCAGTGTACATGGAGGAGAGATTCTTTTGAAGTCGTAAGAGATATGACCGAGTTCATTAAGTGGAGGGCCATGACATGGCATCTGTTTATCCAGAGCAGTGCAATCATTTGATCTCATGTTTGCATTCTTGTGAAGCATATCTTTGAGAATGCTACCTCCTGAATGAGTCTCTAGAGAGGTGATTTTAGTTTCAAACTGATTTGATCTCTCCAAAGCCTTTTGAAATGTTTTTTTGTCTCTTTCCTCCAGTCTTAGAGTAGCAGGATGTTCCAACTCACCACTAGGCTCAGGTATAGTGTTGGCTTTTTCAGAAAGATCTTGCTTTTTCATGACTATCTTGACCTTAAGTTTCTCTCTATCCAGCTCGTCAATGGACTCTTGCCTACCTAACTTCCTGGAAACAGGGCGTTTCAGGCAGCCTTGCTCTGCAGGCCTGACTCGGGTGAGTGATGGTACATCACACACATTCTCCTCCAGACTCTGAAGAGTTACTTCTCTTTGGGACAATTCTTTATTCACCTCCTCTTGGGTCACTTCCAAGCTGTGTTTACGTGAACATATGTGTTTCTTATCACTGCCATAGGAGGGTGCAAGCTTCTCTTCAGACTGGACCCTCTTTAACAGCGGAGACCTCGGTGGCTCTGCACTCTTTGGCCTAACAATATGCCTCACAATAGTTGGAGGGGAGTGCATTTTGCTAGGGAATGCCTGAGCTATTTTTGAATTTCCAATGGAATGCCCCAGTAATGGCGATGGAGATCGCTGGGGAGATGTTGGTTGGGGAGTTGGAGATGGCGTTCGTGCTAAGGGAGACAGAGGAATACTGCCAGCTGATTTACGTCTTCCTGACCTATATCTTTGTCCACCAAGCTTTGGACCCAAGCCATGAAGAGTACTGGGTCTTATGTGTCCTGATCCAGCAGGAGAATTTGGAGCACTTGAGCTAGGAGAGCTACTCTGAGAAGAATTTGTACCTAAAAAAAGAAAAACAAATATAATATGATCAAGATTCCTTCCTCTAATTACTAAAAGCCAATGCATCAAAATGGTTCTGATCAAGAACTGTCACAACATTCCAGGGTTTGGAAGACTTCGAGTTACTGGACTGAAAAAGTCTCACTCTTATTACCACGTTCTTGTTTTTGCTTACATTTAACTTGGAAGCAATTCTGCCACTGGAGTTAAAAGTGAATGGCTACTGTCCACCATTTCAAAGCAAAATTCCATACTATTGGATGATTTAAACTTTCAGTAACGGCTTGAATGCAACAAATTCATTTTCACAGCAACTAAAATGAGGGTAGAATTAGAATGGGAGAAGGATGAATCTTTTAGTTATGAAAATTATTTGATTTTAAGGTCTACTATGTTCTCAACCCCACCTAATTTTCCAGAGCTAATCAGCAGTTGTTATACGCCATGCTGGTCCCATGATCTAAAAATGTTGTCTTTAGTGCCATTTTTATGCCTGTAGTTACCATCATCTCTCAGCCAACTGTAGTCTTTGTTTGCTGTACAGTATAGCCTCATAAATCTGGCATGCTCGGGACCGAGCACCTGCTGGAAATGTGAAAAATCTGGATTTTTGAAATCGAAGCAGTGGCCCCGAGGGAGTGGGGTGGCGGCGGCTGGTCCTAGAGCAGCAGCCACACGTGGAGTGGCAATGTGGGTGGCGGGTAGTGGATGGCAGCAGCAGCCACCGCATGCAAGCTTCCCCCTTTGCTGCTCTGGGACTGGCTGTTAATACTCCCCAATGTGCTGGATTTTTGAGAATTCCAGATTTTTAATGTTATACTGTACCTTCTTTATTGCTTAAGTGTTATTTGCTCAATTAATTTTAGACTTAGCACAAAACAACAACAATAAAACAATTAAGCCAAATCTACAAGACAGTTTCTTTTTAAGAACTTCTGTAACACACAGAAGTTGGATTTTATGCTATGATGTGTTTTTTTCAAAAACAGAATATTCAAAATGATTAGGGTTTCACTTGGGTGACTGTTCTCATGGGAATGCAATAGAGACTTTGTGATCTTAAAGCAGTGTGCATTTCAATCTCTCAATATTTTCCTACCCAACAGTACTCACCAGAAGGGAAGTCAGGTGTGGAGCGGTAACTTGGCGTAGGAGATCTGGGAGACAAGCTGTGAGTTGGGGAACCAGGCAAGCTCTCTCCTGATGAAAGTGATCGGTTAAGACAAGAGAAACTTCTGCTGGTGTGAAGCAAAGGAGAGGGCTGCTTGGCTAGCTTTTTGAAAAGAGACCTCCTCCTATGGCAAGAAAAGCACTTATGAGAAGGTAAGGTGAACAAAATACACTGCTGACACATGGATTGGCTTTAATACCATCCCCTTCAGCCCCACAAGTCTGAATGCTACTATGTTTATACGAGAAGACATAAAACGGTAGAACTTCTAGGGTTTAAGCAACAGAGTGAATTGCAGATAAATAGAACAACAAATAGGAGTCATAAAATGGCTTAATTATATACAAATTAATAAAACATCTTCCATGCTATTCCTTTCTTCATCTGAAAGCAATATACTCTTCAAAAAACAAAACCATCACTCACCTCTCAAGACTTTCTTTCTTTTTGGTCTTCTTACTGCGCCTAACCATTCGGCTCCGGTAGCTGTTTCTCCTGGCTGGTCCTGTTTTGATTGAAGTGTTCTCAAAAGGAGTTGTAGTAATTGACACTTTGTTCCCACTCTGCCAAAATGATGAGAACATTTAGGAGTGGGTAATACAGAACCACTTTCCTTTCAATTGAAGTTCTATTATGATATGAATGCGACAAAACACAAACCCTGCCTTGAAGCAGCTGATGACACTACAGATAAGCACTCCATATACTTAGGCACTAGACACCAGGAAACAAAACATACAAAAATTGCCAGGTTACCTTATTTGCCACTTACACAGTGAAAGCTGGTGCCTGCTATATAAATGAACATTGAAAAATTCTTAACCAAGCTCCTGTGAAAGAGCGTACCCAGTCAGCATGATGGAGCCATGTTTTCTGAAGGTCTTTCAAAACAAGGCTCAGGGATAGGTCTTTATTTGTTTTCATTTATTAGGAAACTGCAGACTGGCCAAAAATTGCACATTTTAAAGACGTTTGAAGGGGATAACTTTAATAGATGCTTTCCCCCTTTTTCCCAGAAAAAGAAAATAGCTGTCAATGCACCTTGAATGAGCTACCTCAGTGAACTGCCAGTCTGCCTCAAGAAACTAGTCATTACATTGCAAAGGTTATGGGATTTGTAGTACTGAGACGACCCCCACTGCAGTACTATATGTCCCCCATACCCTTCCTATTAGGTAAAACTTGCCAAAAATTGGTGCCTATAAGTGTTAATACCGAACTCTTTCCTCCTGCACACTGGAAGGGACAGAGAAGCTGGCAACCATCTTGTAGCACAGTTTCTATCCAGTGCCTCTATACAGTGAAGTTCTGTTGGTGAAGAAAATCAACTTTCCTGCTTAAAATACACATCCCAGTTTTGGAAGGCTGATATTTGGGGAAAGGGTGCATGCAGTATGCAAGTAAATAAGGAATTTCCACTAGCATATCAGATTGGTTGGAAATTAGTAAGAATTTGTATTTTAATGATCCACAGTTCTGTATTGATACAAAAAAAAATCACCTGCCAAAAATAGATGGTTATCAGAATGGAATCTCTCTTTGTAACTGGACTCTGAAAGAATATGGAATTACTTTATTGGATTTAGTATCTTTTGCTAAAATCTACTATCCTGTGTTGAATTTACTTTTGGGAGAACAATGTCTATACACTGCTCTTCTATCAATCTTTATTTTTCTTTCAAATTACCTTTTAAAATTCTACATTAATAAGCCTCAAAACGTAAATAAATTCTCCTGCCTGCACTTTAGATGCATAGGGAGAAACCTAGTAGAGGGAACTGACTGCTTACATTCAATCAGTTTGTTTCATGGCATATCTGTTCACAATATTAATTTTAAAGTTCCTCTGGTTTCATAGGAGATAAAAAATATTTCAAGAAAAAAATATATTTTGGCTCTTTTCTAGTATCTTCATACTCTACTACCAATGTGTTCAATCCTACTTCACACTTATGACAGACTGATCACTTTGACAGGTGAAACAGTACATAGCACCATGAAATTAGTATTATAGAAAGCAAACATATTGCGGTGTAAAACAACACTGACATGCTTTTAGTCTTTGCTGCAAAATTTTTAAAAGAAATGGAATCAGATAAACAATGTATTAAAAAAATACTGTTCTTTGAAAAAAGTGAATAAAAAAATTTCCGAAGAAAAACAAATATAAACTTACCTAAGGTAGGCCCTGGTCAGATCTTTCAGAACTCTACCAGTGCATGAGTTCATCCATAGAAAAGCAACTTAAAGGTAAAGATGTTTCATACAGCTCGCCTAGCTTTGCCTGAGTTAAGCTACTTTGAACATTCTGCCACTGAGACATACAGTCCCTACTTCCCTTTCTTTATCTCAGATTACTACTCCCCTTTTGAAATTTTCCCTACTTATTCTGTATCAGAATAGGCACACTCTAAACAAAGTTATCATCAATAGTTTGAAATGCTTGAAAAACTGCTATGAATCAAAATAAATAGGCATTAAAGGAACTGTGCTTTTTCTATTTACCAAAAAAAGTTATCTTTGCATTTTGAAAGAGGATGGGATGGTGGACATTTGAACATCAGTACCCTGAATTTCCTTCTATACATCTGCTGTATCAGCAGAAATACCAAGAACAATCTGAGAAATTAAACGACATAGTAGTATTTATGGATTCACTGGCTACTTTTTATAGCTGTCCAACTATCAGTTTAGACTTGTAGCTTGACAAACACAAAATAAGTCTTAGAATCATAGAGAATTAGGGTTGGAAGGGATCTCAGGAGGTCATCTAGTCCAGCCACCTGCTCAAAGCAGGACCATCCTCATCTTGGCTTTGTTGAGCCAGGCCTTAAAAGCCTCCAAGGATGGAGATTCCACCACCTCTCTCGGTAACCCACTCCAGTGCTTCACCACCCTCCTAGTAAGAAAGTTTTTCTTAATATCCAACCTAAATTTCCCTTGCTGAAACTTGAGACCATTGCTTCTTGTTCTGTCATCTGCCACCACTAAGAACAGTCTAACTCCATCCTCTTTGGAAGCCCTCTTCAGGTAGTTGAAGGCTATCAAATCCCCCCTCAGTCTTCTCTTCTGCAGACTAAATAAGCCCAGTTCCCTCAGCCTCTCCTCTTAAGTCCCGTGCCCCCGCCCTCTAACTATTTTTGTTGCCTTCTGCTGGACTGTCTCCAAATTGCCCACATCCTTTCTATAGTGGGGAACCCAAAACTGGACACAGTACTCCAGGTTTGGCTAATCTGTGCAGAATAGAGGTAACGAATTACTTCCCTCAATCTGCTGGCAATGTTCCTACTAATGCTGCCCAGTATACTGTTAACCTTCTTCACAACAAGGGCATACTGTTGACTCATATCCATCTCATTGTCCACTGTAACTCCAAGGTCCTTTTCTGCAGAGCTTAGTCAGTTGCTCTTCTGATAACAACTATCCCTTGAAGGAAAAGGAATTGGGAAAATAAAAAGAAATCCCACCAGTGATGGTGTACAAAGCTGAAGTATAAAGTTGGTCTAAAAAGTAATATGGTACCTTCAGCAACAGCTCTATGACTTCAGTGTGAACAAGACCATGTACTGGTTCTCCATTGATATGAGTAATCAGATCTCCAGCCTTTAGTCCTGCTTGATAAGCTGGGCTTCCTTCTTCTACATTCTGGAGATCAGGTAAAAAGAGAAAAGCTCTCATAAACAAAATGACTCTGGCTGCATACACAGTTTCGAATAACCCGGGAGAAATTGCCCAGGTTTATTCTCCTGGGTAAAGAGACTTGCCCAGAGGTGCATGTATAAACATTTGAATGCTGAGGCCCAGAAGAATGGAGAGCTTACAGTAATGACACTGTTCAGTCAGGGGTGGCCTGTGCATACATCTCAGCATGCTCTGCAGGCTCCCTTAATCCGATTCGTGACAGACTGCAGCAATGTATGCAGAAGCCCTGATTGGCTGATCCAGACTACTCAGGGTCAGCCTGTTTCTCTGCAACACAATGTGAAGATTGTGAAGGGGCATGTTCTGCAACACGTTGTCTCCCTTGTATTGGGAGGGGGATACTGGAGGACTATGTTCTCTTCTGAGCAAAGCTGCACCATGTATAGACACTTGCTCTCCCAGGAAAAACTCTCCCAAGAGTGATTAAACCCTGGTTGTTTCTGGATTAATTTTCTCCTGATGCAGTCAAAATTTTACTCTAGTCTAGGAAAAAAAGCCTGAACATCTATACAATCATAACTTCTCCTGAGAGAGCTACAACTGAATGTCTGTATGAGGTCTTGGTAATCCTTATTCTGTCAGTAAGCACTCTCTGTTTTAATGTAATAACTATCTCTTTTTGACGATGACTTTTTGACACTGAAAACAGCATTAGAGATCTTGCAGGACATAAAAAAATAATCATCCTACTAATTCCATCTTAATATTAACTTGTAAACACTATAACACTTGTAGAGAAGTGTTACAGTTCTTCTGGGGTCTACGCCTCATCTAAAGCCCACTGAAGCACTGTGATTATTTCACTAACATAAAGGAGCTTCAGATGGGGCCAGCTGTTACAGAGATACAGAACAGGTGAACAACTGACTCAGACTGAGAATTCAGGTAACTAAAGATAAGCAAAGTCCAAATCTAGAACATTTGTTTGAAAGAAAAGAAAGCTAACCATCCTTTATAGCATGGTGTAAAAAAAACCAAAAAAACAAACCCCCCAAAAAACAACTCATCCTTCCCTATGGGCTGGATAAGCATCCTTGAGGTGGTCTGCAGGTCAGACCAGGACTGACTCCCTAGGTCTTGGGTCCAGCCTGTGTGCCACATACAACATGAGCCAGCCCCTGGGTCCAGCACAGGGTGCACGCTGCCTACAGTGTGCAAGCTGGACCAGGCACTGCAGGCAGCACAGGAGGTTGGTTCAGAGCGCTGCACGCAGCCTGAACCCCAGAACCCAATGCAACACCAAGTCTAGCTCACGCACCACAGGCAACACATGCCCTGGGGGGCTGTATGCACAGCAAGGCCCTGGGCCAGCATGTACTTCGTGTGGTGTGTGGGGCTCAACTGGCTGTGCACACTGCATTGGCGCGTGCTCCACGTAGTGCCCTGCTGACTGGCCCCATGTGCTGGCTCTGACAGCTTCCACAGTGCAAAGTTACTGAAGAATAGAGAGAGAGAGATTTAAAATTAGAACAACAGGTCGTTCAAGTCATTTCCTTAATTTTAAATGTAATCTGCAGCCACTAAAGCCACGTCAATTCCATTAAAATCAACAACACCTGAAGGGCTAAAAATATTTGCAGTCATTTTAAATTTTAAGGTAGCGTATATTGAATATTATTTTTCTTAACTCCTTCAGCATACATGTGATTTGCACACGGCACTTCTGAAAACAAATAGGCTTCTTCAGAGAAGCTATGCTTTTAGGTGCAAGTGGCCCAAGTACAGGCACAGTGGGGGCGAGGAGTAGCTGTATTAGCCTCAGTATCAAAGTCATACATTGCAGCCATTTAATATAAATGTTCAAACCACAAGTAGCTGGCTACATTAAAGGTTCCCTACAAACCGTGAGTGAAAAAAAATACAAGAAACTAAATCTTTTTTAAGCTAGTTGAAATTTTTCTTTTACAACAGAAAATAGTCCCTTGTCTAACAAAGTGAATGGGTTGACAAAAGACAAGGAACAATCACTACTCTGTCTACTGGCCTAACTTGGACCTGTAGATACCAGAGAAAAATAAAAAAGAAATTCAGGACCAATAAAATATTGATTAAATTTCATACTTTTTTCTGTCCATGAACAAGACCATGAAAGAAAACTACAATATCCCCAGATCGATTCTAAATTATTTGCCCAATTTTAGATAAAATAATTGCTGTTGTACAACTTAGATAAATGATACTAACAATCAAACAGCAAATACAAATATTCAATAACCAAGATTCAGTCAGTAATTCATACGAGCTGGATGAGTTCTATACTGCACCAACTGGGTACAGAAACAATTGGACAGAAACAATATTGCATGATTAAAATGATTTGATTGATTGCAGTCACATGGTCACTTAATTATATAACCAACTGACACAGAACAAACTGCAAACTGTATAGCTAGGTGTACAAGTTGAAGTCCAATTTAAAAGTTCAAATGATTCATACTCAGCCAGGTGTTCAGACAGGATCTGTGCAAACGTCAGAGTCAGAGTGGGCTTGAAGTGGGGGTGACTGACTGTTGCTGCTCCATAGTGAACAGCAGCTCTTATGCATGATCCTACAGGGGACACTATTGTAACAAAGTGACTCTAACTTTAAACTTGCTTCACCCGGGGTCAAAGGTGGTGCGTTTCATCTTGAGCATGCAACTGATCAGAATGGCCACCACTGAGATAATGGGTACCCTGCCTATGAACCATTATCTGATGCAGTCTGAAATCTAACTGCAAAGCTTAGTTTTCAACTCTGGTATTAAGACATTGAGGAGAATTATTCTTACCCAAACAATATGGTGCACTGTGTAGATATCACTGTCTCCCACATAGACTCTGATTGCTCGGATTGTGAAGCCATACTTTTTTCCTGAACTGTGAATTACTATAGGTTGATGAGGACTTGCAGCAGCAATTGAGGATTCACGACTAGGAGATGAATCTCTGGAGGATGAAGGATCTGAAGAAAGGGAATGAGGGGACATAGGACTTCCCAAAGGAGAAATGCCAAACACATCTGGAACAGATGATCTTCCTGTTGGAACACATTTTGATTAATCACATGATCTCAAAACATTGAAAATATATAATATTAATATACAAGTTAAAATCTTATAACCGAAAATGTGGTAAATTTTGTCTAAATTGCTAAAAACTAGCTTCCAGGCAAACAAAACCCTCACTCCTTTAGTAGCAACATAAATATGACAATTGGAAGATATCTATCAAAATATTTTTTGTTTTTACCTTTTATTTAATATTAAGAACTCCTTAAAAGTTTGAAAATACAACTTTATCTTGGAGTGTATTTTTATTTACACCACATGCCTTATGTTATGGCTACTCTTGGGATATAAGCTGTTTTTATGATACTAGAAAATATTTCCTGAAGACTGAAAGAAAAAAAAAATCCTTAAATCCTTTTTCAACAAGCATGCAGAGAGGGAATTACATCAACTGCATCAGCATATGCATCTCCCAGATGCATACTTCCACTTGATAATGTCTATCAGCAATACAGAAAGCTTTCATACAGATAATTTGGGTTGGGTTCTAAGTTTTATGATGATTGCTATAAAACCAGTCATTTTAATTCCCACTTACACAAGTAACTCAACATTGTCTTAACAAACCACTATTATTTTCAGCCTGCTACTTCAGATAAGCTGAGTCTAAACCAGGAAACCTTTGCTGGCAGAGGAACACTGGTTATGGGTAACAGTTTTTAGAGGCAAATCTATGCTGGCAAAAGTTCATGTATAGTCACAGCATACCTGCAAAAAGGTACATTTGCAACGAAACAGAATATTTCATTTGCTGTACAGATCTAGCTTATCAGCTGTATTAGAAGAAAGCACTTTTTTGCTACATCTGTAGTATAGCATAACTATAGTGACAAAAGTTTTATACCTTGGCAGTGCCTCAGCTTGGATTTCATAGAATAACATTCCAATTAAAAGAAAAGTGTGATTTTATGTTTTTGAGTAGTAAAGTCAGTTTGCCTCATCTTTGGGCTATCAAATTATTTTTATGAGGAGTTAAAGAATGTCCAAACCACAACTAGAGTACAACCAATCACAGGATTTGCAGCACTAAATGCTAACTGACTGCAATTTACCTTGGTATCTGCTTCCTAATCTGGTTTAACATTTAATTTACCCTGTTTACACGTAGAATGCATTACAACCTTTCTACAAGCAGAAATACTGAATCATGGCCTTACTGGTACAGGACTCTAGCAAGAAAACATCCATACTCTTCAGACAAAGATCTTATTTGGACAGGTGGCATATATAAGGGGTAAACCTGAAAGCATGTGTGGGGTATTCATGATTTTTAATCCCAGCTATGACCCCAGCAAGGCATGTCATGCACTCTTCATCTGGACTTCTCCTTGTAAAATGCAGGTACCTTCTCTTCTCTCACAGATATGTTGTAAGGATTATAGTTAACGTTTGCACTGCACTATGCAACATCACAAGTATTCTTTTTACTCCCAAATAAGTGAATCTCCAGGCATTCAAACACCAGCAAAGTCTCCCTGCTTTAACTCAGACTATTTTCATCCTGAATTGCTCTATATTCATTACCAGTTAGTGGTTTGGCTGTGGGCTACAGCGAAGTTTACCCAGATTCTTTATTTTTCTAGAAAATGGGGAGAGAAGAAATGAACTGGTGCTTGGGTAAATCTTTGCAATCATGGTGGATGGGTTGGCTTTGCCTTCCTCTGGGGATTTGTATACGAATACCATACTCTTGTACATGTATTTTTACAACTGGGCGAACAGGACAGATGGGAGTCCTTTATTTACATTCTTTGCCATTTCCAAGGTAAGCAAGCACAATACTTCAGCAAGTACACAATACTGCCTTAATCTGATGACAGATTACTGCCTTAATCTGATGACAATGAATTTTCCTGAAGTTATTGCCAAAACCATCTTCCCTATTTGCAGAGCATGTGCCATTTGCATGTTACCAAGATAATCAAATATCATGCCTAAAACAGATGTATCCACACTTCAGAACTGAGAACCTCTCTCTGCAACTTCAGAAGAGTTAAGAATTTAAGTGTTACCTACTACAGAGAAGAGATAGCTGTCAATATGGATCTGGATTCTGGACCCTCCAAAAGTAAGGGGAGTTTCAGATCAGATTTCACTTTTTTCTTTAGGTTAATGATTAAATATTCAATTGGTGACATGGAAGTTATTTTTTCCTTGCTTCTGGCATGCAAGCCAAACCAAAACATGGAACAACCCCCCACAATTAACTCTGACAACAACTCAAGCTTGCAGGTTAAAAATGACTGAGACAGAGTCCATTCCAGACTCTCAAAGTGCAATAGAGTATTCAGGAATAATGACATACTACAAGATTCATCCCTACCTCCTGGGATCATGAGGGACAAAGCACTTGCAGAGAGGGACTTTGTGACTTTTCCCGAGATTTTCTTTTTCTCTGTGCTTTCTAATCGCTGACGAGCCATGTGAGAAGCAGTTTCGCTGGACGGCTTTGAGGAATTATCTGTACTGTCCACACTCTCAATTCTTGCATTTATCTGATCTAAGTGCTCTGAAAAACTGCCAACTGTACAAAGAAGAAGGGATAAACACATTGAGGGAAACTGGGGGGGTGAGGGAGGAGAAACAATACAGTTGTAAGGTGGAATTTTTCTCTCTGCCAACAAGTTCATACAATGTTAGAGGAAAATTAAAAGCAAATGGAAAAGAACAGAAATTTCATCAAGGTTAACAAGGTAAGGAGAAGCACTAGGGACTGAGATGGGTTTGCATCAATGGCATAATTAGAAATACAAATAAAATCTGTTACGTGTTTTGTAGCTCAGCAACATACATTTAGAGGACTTAGCTAAGCATATTTTGCAAGTGAATACCCACTCAAGTCAATAAGGCTAGGGACAGACATTACACATAAACTGGTTTAATTGATCAGAAACTGGTTTAAACCTGTAACAAAGCAGATGTTCAGGGCACAGAAACTGGTTTGAAAGTGGCTGAAGCCAGTTTGAGATAAACCTGGTTGAATGTAGTATCAAACTTAACTGATATGGGTCAAACCGGCTTATGCAATGTCTGTCCCAGACCCCTTGCTGGTTTAAGATAAACCAGACTCCTCCAGCATCCCGGCATGCATTATGGGCTGGGCAGGGCTCTCTACTCCACAGCAGAGCTGGCCCCTCCCCTCTGCTCACTGGCTGCAGCTCTGGCAGAGACTACAAGCTACTCCCCACCACCCCTCACCACTCCCTGCTAAGCAGAAATTCCCCCCTCCCCTCTGTCTTGCTGAGAGGTGTCTGTGTATTAGCTAACAGACCACATGCTGACTACGGTCCATGCTGTGGCAGATGGGACAAAGGAAGAATCAACCGGTAGCTGGTAATGTCCCTTGTTGTTTTCTTAATAGGGTGATAAACACTTATCAACTCCCTGCTGGATTGCTCCCCCCCCTCGCGTGTGTTCCCCGGGGGGGGGGGGGGGAGGCCCTCCCTAATCAAAGCATCCTGCCAGGGCCTGGCCACACTCCCCTCAGCTCAGCACTGTAGAAAGGGAGGGCTGCTCTAGCATCCCTGACTTCTTGCCTGAGCCACTGCAGACATGTACCTGCATGCCTGGGATGTCTGTGCAGTAGGGCTGTGCGAAACTTCACTGGATATTTCGTTTCGATGCTGTTTCGACTTTTTTCAAGCTCGAAACAGCAAAATTGAAATGAAGCAAAGGGCTCGAAACAGCCTCAAAACAAAATGAAGCCAGCTGAAATATTTTGAAAGTTTTGAAACGTTTCGAATTTCGAAGCAGCCAGGTAGTGGGAAGAACGGGAGAGCCAGGGCTGTGCTCCGAGCAGCTCTGTAGCCCCACGCGGCTCAGCCTGGTGTGGAGCACAGCCCTGGTTCTCCCCACCTCCTGCCTCCAGGCTGCAATCCATGGGGCTGGTGGAGCCGACTGGAGTGCAGTACCAGCTCTGCCTGCCTCCCACTGATGGGCTGTGCTCCAATCGACTTCGCCAGCCCCATGGAGCCCAGCCCAGGAGGCAGGCAGAGCTGGCACTGCACTCCATCTCCCGTCACTGGGCTCAGTTCCACGTGGCTGCGAACCACTGGGAGCTGAGCCCGGTGGCAAGAGGCGGAACGCAGCCCTGGTGCTGCTGATTCCCCCCACTGGGTTGAGTTCCACGGGGCTGCAAGCTGCTGCAAGCTGAGCCTAGTGGAGGGAGGCAGAGCACACCCTGGTGCTGCTCTGATTCCCCCCCACCGGGCTCAGTTCCACAGGGCTGCAAGCCACTGGGAGCTGAACCTGGGTGGAGGGAGGTGGAGTGTAGCCCTAGCGCTGTGCTTCGATTCCCCCCGTGGACTCAGTTCCACAGGGTTATGAACCATTGGAAGCAGAGCTGGGTGGGAAAGGTGGAGCGCAGCCTCAGTGTTGCTCCTGGATCACAGGAGGCTGGTGCTGCCAAAGGGGGTTAGAGGCAGCACCGACCTTCCCAGTGCTGACTGCAGCCTATGGGCGAAACATCAAAACAGCACTGAAACACCAAAAGAGTTTTGATGAAACAAAATGGAACAGTGCTTTCAAAATTAAACGAAACTCGAAACGAAGCACTGTTCCGTTGAAACATTGAAAAGGAAGTCACAGTGGAATGATGCTGTTTTTGCACAGTCCTACTGTGTAGTTACAAAGTGATTTCACCTAGCCAGGTTAGACTAACCTGCAAAGATTGAATCAATTCAGGCTCAGGCTTTTTGAATGTCTGTCCCTACCCAGGTAGATTTGACTATGAATGCAACGCTACATATCTCTCTACCAGTTTCTCTACTTTCCCTTTCCCTTCCCCCCACCCTGGGGGAAATAAAAACAACACCCCATGTGCAAGCACTAAAATGGCATGCATTATTCCATTTTTTAATATGTATTTTCACTTTTTTCTTCACCAAGAACGGGAGTAGTACCAGACTCATCAGTATAGTGATACCCTGCATGATTTATGATACAATAATACCATCAGAGACACTACTAAAGGTGGAGACAGAAAAGCACTTAAATAAAAATGGGAAAGACCTCACATCAGCTGACTCATCTGCCAGGGACCAGTTCAAATGTTCAGTAATATATACAGGAAGGTTTTGTGACCTTATGGGATAGACAAGAATGGTTTATCTATTTTCCTTAAAGGGACAGCAAAAAGAAGCCAATAATTCCTTCATATCACAGAATAGCCTACTGGCCAGCATTTTGTAGAATAAACAGAAGTTATTTTCTAATTTAGCTAGTATTTGCATATACAAGGGAACAAAAGAAAGCAAGCAGATATTTTGAATTATGCCTAACTATTGGTGTGCTCATTACTATAATCACAACACATTCCTGACTGTGACCTCACAAGTGCATATATACACAAAAACATACACATCTGCCCCCCACAGTGGTCCTAATAACCATGCTTTAACTTCTGAAGCTTCATTACAAGGAAGAGCAACTGTTAAAAAAATGTTAAAAAAACATTTAAAATGTTTACATATGGAAAAATATTGCAATATGGAAAAAATGTGGAGGGAACAAAGAGATGTACTCTATGCAACACTCTACTAGATATCAAGCTAGTCTGATTTCCACATGGAAAGGACAGCTTTACCAAGTTTGAAAGACAGACTAAAAGCTGATTTAATGATTAAAAATGTTATGGGGCATCACTGTTTAAACAACAGCTATGGAGGTCAATCAGGAAAAAAGATTAGATAATTATTGCAATTGTGGTATTCTTAGAAATTGCAGGATTGAATACACAAGTGATCAGAGTGCCCTATATATCCACAGAACCATGGCAACACGGACATAGGCTTCATAAGTCTCCTGGTACTTTCCTGCCACCTGACTGGATGGGTCTAGACAAGGGCCAAAAGGCAGTCAATCTCCATGGACCATTCATTATTTTATTTATCTACAAATGTCCCAACAGGGGTGATAGAGTAATGACAGATTTTGACATTTGCTGCAGTACTTGCATCTTTCCAGTAGGTACTAATATGAAAGCTTATCACTCTGGACATCTTAGGATGATGTACTTTAAGTCAGGTCAGAACTGTGGGACGAGAAAGCTAAATACAGAATGTACATTGGCTTCCTAACATAACTGGCAGTAAATTAGGGGATCCTTACCTGACAATGTCGAGCTGCTGATGGTACTGGCTGGAGTGGTGACCTCCAGCTCATCTTGACCATGTTCCTCATTTGCAAATGTAGCCTTTTCTTGCTCTTCTCGGGATTCTCCCAAGCAGGTGGTTTCATCTTGATCTGCTTCAGCTGATATGGCCAGTTTTGGAAGAAAACCTGAACCATGTTGCTGTCTAGTGCTTTCAGTATCCGAGGAGTTGGATGTAGACAGCTGTTGCCTGAATTCAAAATAGCATTTGCACAATTCATATTTGAAGTCTTTTTACAGAACAATACTAGTGAAGGCAAACAGTAGTGGGGCTGGCCTGCCACCACCAGGGAAGTGGAACTTGGCCTGTCTTTGCCAACTGCTCCTACTTACGTTTCCGAATACTCTGAACTCCAGCTTAAAGATTCCACACAGGGCAAGGTTGCATTTTTTGTTTTCTCTCCTGTGTCTTCCTTTTCTTCATTTTGATTTTGACTTGCACGATCTATGCTACTAAAAACCTATTGCATAAAAAAGCAACATATTACTGACACATATTTGATTTAAAAAGATTTTCAGGAAAATCTCTCATACAGGACTCTGTATGCTCTAAATGTTAATGCAGTTCCCTAGAGCTTCAACTTCAACTATCACAAGTCTTTTCGAATTTCTAGGAGTTTGTGCTCTTAAGGTGCTTTTCAATTCTGTTTTCTTGGCTCCTCAGCTACAGGGTCATGAATAACATCTCTGTTATGAATTCAGCAGCTTCTCTCCCCATTCCACTGTATCAACTATGAGCCCGCAAACAAAATCTGTAGGTGCTTAAGGGGTTATAGGTCAAAGGATCAATGCACCATTTAGATTACTTCTTAACCATGAAGTCAATCAAAAAAGACCCACTAATTTAATGGTCACCAGTCAAGTGTGGAAAGCAGAAAAATGAATTTGAATCAAGTGTGAAGATGAGGATAAATTACTTGGGTTAAAGATTTAGAAAAAATAAATTCTCATCATAAAATGCAGCTGTTTGTATAGCTGACAAACTGCCTATAGAGACTGCCAGCTGTATGTACTACAGCCTCCGAGTCACAGCTACTCTTACATACAATAACAAAATGGCAACTTTCAAGATATTGAGCTACTCCTGTGGGTTTATTTCTTTGGAAAGGATAGAAACCATCTCCAAAGAGCCAGAACCATTCTTCGCTGTCTGAATCAGTCATGCTGCTGAGTCAAGACAGCATTCACATTGAACAAAACCAGCAAGTCCTCCAATTCTTTCCTCCACATTAGAGCAGTCTGTCAGAGGGAGCATTACATAGCACAGGCTTACAAAAGTATATATCAGGATAGGTGATTTTTAAACTACCTTTCCTTTTACTGACTAAGATTCTACTTAATCTTTTTTTAAACCATTTTTGAGGAAGGCTTACAGTAACAATTTATATTAATAGGATTTTTTTGACAATCGTTGCTGGTTACCATTTAGGATTAAAAGCCTGTTTTATTAGACATTTGTTTTCTCAACCCGTTATAACCTCCTGATTTTTCCTGCACATTTTCCAAAGGTTGCCGTCAACTTCTAATTGCCAAGTCCTAATATTCCCTCTCTCTCTCTTACTATCTCATCTTTTTTGGACTCCCAAGTTTGCCACCAGTTTCTCACATCCAAAATGTAAACCTCAATCTGCATATCTCCATAAAAATGTGGACAAACCATATTCCCCTCTACCAATCATGCACATTTTTCTTTTTGTATACCCCATCTAATAGTTCATCTCTGCCTTAACTCTTAAGATTATAAACTCAGCTGAGACAGAACTTTTTTCTATGCAGTTGCCTTTAAGGCACCTTAACGCTGCTAGCGAAAAATACAGCCCCCCCCCCCCCCCAAAAACAAACAAACAAACAACCAACCTAACTGATAGGGAAGTGTCCTTCAGGATTTAATAGAAAGAAATCTTTCTAAAGCATCTTTTGAAACATACTACATCTTCTACAGGAGAGCTCACTAACTTTACAGAAAGGCTATATTTGCTATTACATTCCCAAAGATCCTAGAGCGACTGCAACAGACTCCTTATTACATTTGGATTGAACACTACTGGTTTCATTCTTATTAAACTCCACTGAACTGCACCATAATTGAATAATGTGTCAACCCTTCCCTTGCACAAATCGGTCCTTTTCAAACCCCAAAAGTAACAGAGTGTGTTTGTGTACAAACTGCATACTAAACAAATGCAAAGCCTTTACTTACTTTTGAAAATCTATGGGAACAGGAGGAAAACTGCCTTATCTCCAAATTAAAATCTTCATCATTTGTATCATCTTCTTCTTCAGTTTCCATATGGTGATATTTCTCAGAACGAGCTACAGAAAAGGGAAAGAAATGTTTTGAACTTATCACAGAATATCAGATGCCAAGATTTAATGTTAATTAAAAGGGTAATTTTATTTTTAAAGATTAGCTCTTCTAAAATGTCAGGTTGGCAGTGAGATCCTGAAGCTTCCAATGGTTCTGATAAAGAGGATTTTCAGTGCACAGCAAGTAAAAGAAAGAATCAAAGACAATTAATAATTATATCATTTCCTCCTCAAATTAAATCATTAGTTTTGTATAATATAATACATACTGTCAAAGTAACTTGTGTCATCTTCAGATTCCAGCTGTGGAATGAATTCTGCTTTCTGTCTCAGCAGACTATTCCAGTCTAGGCTACGAAAGAACTGGTGCTGTTTTACTTCATACGCACCACCTGAGGGAGCCAGAGAAAAACCATCTGAGTGATTGCTAAACAAAACAACTTCTGTTAATTCCAAGCTAACTCCTTGTTAAAGGAATATACTAATTAGCATGGAAAAGCACAGGCAACACTGCAGTCTAGCATGTCAAAGATGAAAAATCTGTTTCTACTATCACAGATGAATACATTTGTGTCATAGGATTATATTGGGGGGGTGGGCTTTGTATTTCCATTATTTCTACCAACAAAGCTAATTACTACCTGTTGAATATATATTAGCCTGAAACTTGGCGCACAGTATTGTTTGCCAAGACGTAGATCACTACACATATCTTGCAACAAATAGAGGATATTTTAACTTCAGAATTCCTTTGGTCTAATATGGTTAACTTTTAAGAAGTCTTTTTTGGAATTTGTAGAACAATAATACACAATTCCACTGGACTTTCAGTATAATTGAGCTTCCTATGAATCACTCTCTACTTACCATGCATTTCAAATAAAATTAATCTATTTTTGATTTAGGAACAGCCATAAAACTAACTTTGCAATATCTGGAATTTCTGTCCTTTCCCAAGTAATGTACTGAGAAACATAAGGATTATTTTGAATAACAGATGGATCAGTAAACGATGCACTCTCTTATAACTTTTTTCATTTTTATCTCTCAAAATTACTTTTTACAAAGTCATAAACTCCATTACATTCATTTAAATACTCGCCAAAAACTTCTCTCTCTCTCTCTCTCTCTCTCTCTCTCTATATATATATATATATAATGCCTGTTTAAAAAGTGGGATTTGGGAAAGAAATGGAAACAATAAGATAATTTCAGGACTGACTGTCTTGGTTGTGAAGAAAGGCAATCAAAGATGTTAAGTAAGAGGTGGATTGACTCATTTCTATACCAAAAATTTACCTCCAACCAATACCAATGAAAAATTTACAAAAGCACATCCCTACCTGTATTCCTGAAATAAAGCCCAAAACACATCTAACTCTATGAAACCAGCTCATAAGAAGAGAGGCAATCAGATGTGAACTTCCCAACTTAGATAATTTTGTGTCATGTTTTAACATTATTGAGACGCATTTCTTATATTTCTCTCATTTTCCATCTTCTATGGAAAGGTTTTAGAATATCTATTCATTTCCTTCCACCCCTGACTAAGCCTTTCCAGTCTCTTGGGTAAATGTGCAATTACATATTTTCATGGAACATTATTCAGCAGCTAAACATGTATTAAATGCATAGGGCTGGCATTTGAAATGTGTGTCAAAGCCAGGTGATAAACTGCAGCCTTTCCCAGGACTCCTGTGGGACCCATCACATTGCAGCCACTGTTTTTGTGAGCTGCTTTTGACACTCAAAAGCTTAGGTTTAGTTTTTAAATATCCCTCTGTGCTTCACAAGCAGTTGCAGGATTCCCCTCTTCAGATTGTCAAGTCTTAAGAGACCAAGAATAGTTGAAGAAATAAACCAGTAAATAAATTGAGCAGATGTTACATGTGGAGGCACTGACCATTACAGTATTTATGCCTAATTCAAGCCAATTCACTACTCAACGAGGCACAGAATCTACCAGTGACTGTCTCTCTCTTTCATGGAATAGTGACTTGGCCATAAACACTATACTTATTGTGAAGAAAGATTGGGCAATGAAATGACAGTACCTGAAATAAGGCCATTAAAGGGAATAGAGTGCAATGCTAATTCTGACTTTTCAGACTCTTACTTACAGGAATGCCCTTTGTATGGGACGGTCCACAGCTATGCTGGTCCCAGGAGGAAGCATATGGAGGAACTATGAGTCATAATTCCTTTGCTGCAGCAACTTTGCTCACTGGGGATGTGTTATAAGCACAGGATGGCAGCAATCCTCAGTACATCACACCCCATGCTAGCAGCTGCACCAGAGACAGGGAGCAGAGGAGGCACACAAGATCTCAAATTTGGCCCACTCACCCACCCACCTATTTACAGAGTGATAGGAATGGAGCCTCTATTCTTATTTGTACTTTAACTCCCCCCACAGCAGGACCCAAGATCTGAGAAGCTCTAATGCGGACACAAAAGAACCAGGATTTGGGTCACGTTCTTAGCCACCTGCATGGTTGTGTTAAGACCAGTCTCAATATAGTCCTTAGTATTAGATTTAAAATTTCCCTCTATAAAAATGCAAATCAACAATGGGCAAATAGACCCAACCTCTACTATAATCATGGGGCTACTTTGTATCATGATAACCAGTACCATCACATTATTCACTTGTGTTCCCAAGGCTATCTCCAGTCATCTACTGTTCTGGTCTTATACTCAGACTACAAGTTGTTTGGGGGCAGGAGCTGTTTGTTCTTTTGTATGACGCCTAACAAAACAGGTCCTGGCCTGTAACTGCGGCTGACTGACACATGCTATGACACTACAAATAATAAAACAATGGTATTCTCTACTCCTGCCTGTCACTCAAAGTTGCAACCCCGAACATAAATTCAAATAACAAAAATACTCTGCTCTTGATGGACGCCATTTTACTGTTAACCAATGCAGGTTTGGCTGCAGTTAACGTCATGTGCCAACTTCTTTACTTAGAATGAGCTGAGAGCAGTGCTGAGGAGAGCTAGAAAGCCCACAGAACAAAAGCAAGCAGCTTCTCTTGTCACTGTTCTCCATTTATTTCCTTTAAACTTGTGTACTTCCTATTTTATTCTTTTTCATGCAAAGGCAACAGCACTGAATGAAAGCGATAAGAGAAATCATAATCCAACCTCAGGCAGTCTTTTGTGAGTAATTAGTTCAAGTACTAGCTAATCACCCTCCAGTCTGAAGAAGCTAATTTGCCAGGGCAGAGAACTGATGTCAGGAAGTGGTTATTTTGATTTACCTCACAACTTCCACATTTAAGTTATTTAACAGTCCTTTGTTTCTGTGTGGGTAACAGTTCCTGGCACTAGACACACTGCCTTCAAGAGAAACTTCTGTTTTATTTATTGAGACAAGATAAGGGGAGACAATGCAAGCTTCATGAGAATGGTGCAAGATGACAAAAAACACATTGTTAAAATATGTCACCCTACTGTACTGCTGCTCGGAATCAGCAAAAAAGCAAACCAAACCAGCAAAATGCACTCTTGCTATAATGAGTTGCCATCATGTTGCACACATTGACAGATGTTTCCTGGGCAAAGCAAAACAAACAAAAAAAAGCAAACAAAAACCTCATCATGTTCAATGTGGAAGCTATTTCTAGCATATTAGCAAAATTAAAAACATTGCCCCAGACCTGTTCCCAATCTCTCCAGAGGATTTTGCCTGAGCAGTAGAGTAATCAGATCCTGAGCATCTGGAGGAGGTGCTTCATCCTTTTCAGGCCAGTTGATCTCATCTAGCAGAAAAGAAAGTAGCTTGTATTACTTATTTTTGTCCAGTACCATAAAGGACACTGTTTATTCACAGTACAGCACCTTTCCAGTCATCTTACACAGAACAGTAGTTAAGCTGTATTTTATTTGTAACAAAAAAACCTTTCGACTCAAATGCAATACAACCCTCTTCTAAACTAAACCATACAATAATCATGGTGTTTACCTGTGAAGCAGCAAGCCTTACCCCCAAACAGCACTTCATAGCAAGAAGCAGTACTGCTTTAGTCCTGGCTGCTGTTTACAGAACACTACGGCTGAAGCACACTCTATGCACTGTTCCTTTCTCTCTGAACAATCATTATGCTTTAAATCCTAGTCCTGTTCCTTGGGAACTGCTGATAAGACGGATACAATTGGCCTGATCCCGCAGCCATTGCTCACATCTGTAATCCTTTACTAATGCTATAAGAGATTCATTGAAGTCATTACTCACATGACTGAGGTCTGTGGGATTCAACACTAGATTTAACAAGATACAAGCCAATGTGGTTGTTTTTATAGAGATTTTTCACTGAAAATACCCTATCAATTTACTACCACTAACCTGCCTATTACAAAAACCATGTCCACACCCTGGCAAGTTAGACCTAAACTTTGTAGTCATGCTCTTGGATTCCATAAAAGACAGCCTGGAAATACTGCTAAAACCTCATTTAAATTACATAATGGAAATCTGCAAAATGCTTCAGTAGGAAAAGGAGCACTACAATAAGCAAAAGTAAACTATAGGTACATAGAGATGAAACAATTATACCAACTTAAAAGGGGGGGACGGGACTTAGGGCACTTATACACATATGATTTCATGCTGCAATGTGCTGGAGATCTGGCGTATTGGAGCAGACTTGATTAATGGAGTCTGCTTTGCATGTGAGCTGACACTTACCGCACTGTGTCGCTTTCAGTTGTATAAGCGGCGAAATGCAAGTCAGCGTGGTGAAAATGTTGGTGGCGTGCTTTTGAACTAAAACACCTTTGATGCGTTTTAGTTCAAAAGCAGACTGCCACCATTTTCTGTGCACTGACGCACATTTCGCCACTTATACAACTACATGTGTTGCATGAGTGTCAAGTCACCACTTTTTAATTCAGGTAATTTGTTCAGTCTGTCCATATCATATGATGTTTATGTCTATATGATGTAGAATGAATGCTGTACCTCCATAACTGGTACATCATCACTTCTTTTATAAACACACTGAACAAGTTCTCTGGGAGAAGCTAGAGGGCAAGGGATAATTGGGACTTCAAGCACCTGAAGATTTATGGGAAGCAGTTTGGGATCATATGTAAACTGTATTAGTTACTTTTTTCAATTAAACTCAGGTGTGATAGTCCTTCAGCTTTCCCACAATGGGATTGTAGCCACAACAGTATCAATGGGAGTTTTGCCATTAACTCCAGTGTGATTGAGATTTCATCCACAGAGAAAAGAGCATACATCTTTCTCAGAGATCATGAATGACTGGTGCCTCCCAAGACTGGCGGAGTCCCATCTGTAGTCAGCAGTGTGCAGGGACTGTCCATAGATGCCAGCGGCGATGGCGGTGGAAGGGGTGGCAAGCAGCAAGTGGGGACCACCTGCAGACACCGGTGGTGACATCAGCGGCAAAGTGGGGAGGAGGTGGCAAGGGCAAGTGGCGACCGCCCTCAAAAGCCAGCAACAGCTTCGGTGGTGGCCAATCTCTGATAGGGCATGTGCCCCCCCTATGTGTCACCTATGTCAGGGATTTGAGTCTATAACAATTCCCATGACAGCTGAAAACCAGAGGAACTGTGCATTTCAGGACCTCTCTTTGCCAGAACAATTATTTTCTTGTAGGTATTACCAGTAAAAATGACTGCAGTAAATTAATTACTATTAAAAAGAAAAGAAAAAAATAACAGAGAATGTCAAAATCAAGTTAAAAGAACAAACAAAAATCACAACAGTGTGGAAAATGTGACCAAACTTGCACATACTCCTGTGAATAATCAATGCAAAGACCTAGGGAGTACTCATATGCCTAAAGTTATTCATGTGCATCTGCTGGATCAGTGAATACATTTTAACATGTGGCAATTTAAATTAAAAAAAAATAAGGTGATGTGGAAAATAACATTTCCAAAGTGCATATTTTTAATTTGGTCATTAATATTAGCTGAAATTTGTGGCAAAAAAGTCTGCCTAAAGAGGCATACATATACACCCGTATACACATGCATGTCTGGAAATGCAATAAAAACATGAGTTATTTCCATGTTTGTTTGCCTGCAGCTTCTAATGCAGTTTAAAATAAAACATGAATATGCATTGCAGCTGTAAGGCATCAAGAATAAAGCTAGCATTTGCTGATTGTGTTAATTAAACAGTTGATTCCCCTTGCCACTCAGGCGTTGGTGTATCACATCAGAAAACAGCATGGTTATAAATCCATAAACAGCTAGGGTATTGTATAAAGAGGTCACATACTGCAGGCAACCCACAAATCCACTTCATGAAAGTTTACAAACATTGTTTGGCTTAAGAAGTCAAAGATAGTGAACTCCATTATGATGCTAGAACATTGCCTCACAAGACAAATGTGATTTTCCCCCCCATTTTAGATGGTGGTTTTTCTAAGCATAATGTAAAATGGACTGGGGAACATTCAGTAACAGAGGTGTCATTCTGGTAAACTTTTGGCATAAACAGTGGCCATCTACTTCTATGCATCTGGAAAATTTATGGAAACAGCAGGTAGGATAGTAAAAGATTCTGTTTAATTATCATTTAGTTTTGCCACTAGCTGCATAACAATACTTAGGGTCAGCTTGCAGGTTAAGATCTAAAGGTTATTGAATTTTAAATGAAAGAAGAACAGCTGTTACAGAAATAACAGTATCCTATAACAACCACCAAAGAAATCATTAACAATCTGTGAATTGAATTTGTTTCCTTCTCTTTTCCATTATTTATTATTCGGGAGACATTTGTTTTAGGGTTTTACTACATTTTTGTTAATTTCTTCATTGTGCCACTAGGCATTTTCTCATTTACGCAAATGAATTCCACATTAACCTTTTCTTCTCTGGTACAATTTTTAATTAGATACTGGAAAAGACCATCTCATAGTCAATTAGACTGTCGAACCATTAATAATTCTTTTCTTTCTACCTACACTATTATAACATTTTAAATACACTAGTAATTTTATAAACAAGTTCAGTTTTAAATCCAAATTCTATTCCTTTCATTTGGATGATATACCCTATATCACTGTGATTTTTTATTATTATTATTAGTTTGGACAGAAACTAATTTAAAATGCTAGCTTAGTGGGAAATTCTTAAATATTTTTTTCAACATTAAATGGATTGTTTCAACAGGCTGCGTGATATTTACCACTGATTACTTGTCCAAATAGCTCTTCCGGTGTATCTCCAAAGAATGGTACACACCCAACAAGAAATTCATAAAGAATGATTCCCATGGCCCACCAGTCCACAGGTTTGCCATAACCCTGCCTTAGTATCACTTCTGGCGCTATATATTCTGGTGTGCCACAGACCTAGAAATGAGAAAAAATATTTATAACGAAATCTACTATTAGTCATTGAATTTCCCATTAATTCTCTGCATTTAACAATACCTTATAAAACCATAAAGAAACAAATTTTGAGCAAATGAAGCTGTGATGGCCCAAGAAATATGTGAGGGGCAAGAATTTTTGTGGGTGCTAACTTTCATTGGACCAACTTCATGGTTTGGATAAACTTAGCTAAGTTTTAAGGCATCGCACTACCTTTCCTCATGTCTTAAATTTTTGCCATAAACTTTGTGGAATGGTTTATGTTGTTCAGCTTGTAATTCATCTGATGTTTTCAAATGCTGTATAGAGCAAAACCATCCAAAAGTAGGTATGAGAAATGCATTTGACAGAAAATCCTTTTATACAAGTAGATTTGTCTGTAAACCCAGAAGTTAATTACAGGAATTGTTTTGTTTACTCTACATCTATCTCTATTTTTACATAAAAATTGTGATGGTTTTACCTTAAGTAACTTTTACAGTGAACAGATTGTGGGCAAATGGTAATGAGGCATGCTTAAAGGGAAATGGGCCATAGCTGAGATGTTAGCACCCGCGATTGTACAACGCATCATGAGTTCTGCAAGTACTCTGCTGAGACTCCTGAATTCCTTATAAAAACAGTTCTCCATTTGTCTCTCTCACATCCTCACTTGCACACAATTAGATCGTTCATCTTATTAATAGACCATAATGTGTGTGCATTGGGAGGGGGGAGCAGGGGACTTGGAATGATCTGTACCACAGCAATAAAAGATTATTCTTAAACAGATATCTGAAAGACCACTGCAGAAATAATAATGGCTTAATGTAATATTATGTTATATCCCATTGGTAAATATGTAATCTCTTAGTGTAATAGTAAAAAAAAAAAAAAAGAAAAGAAAAAAAGTACCTTACCTGTTTGTCAAGAAACTCTCTAGCATCCTTCTCAATGTGTCCCTCATAAAGATTGGTAGTCAGGCTCATTAGCCCTACCTTAGAAAGCCCAAAGTCTGTAAGCTTTATATGTCCCATGGATGTTACCAATAAACTGCAAATTAGAAGGACAGTAAATTACTAATGACAGGATTGAATTCAACATTGCATTTCTATTTATTACAGTCACAACACTGTAGTAGTATTGCAAAACAGCATTGCAAAACTATACAAAACAAAAAATGGACTAACTATACATGCATCCTGTGGAGCTGTCAAATACCGACACACAAATAATAATTATTAGATTTATACAAACTGCTTATCCCTCCTAGAACATTTAACTTCTTTTAAAATATCCTAAGAGGAAAAATTATAAGGCTGCAAAGAAGAATGATGTAGCATGTTTTGGACAAGTAGGAATAGCAAGCGTTCTGGAATACGTTAAAATAGATTTGGATTTAAAAATGGAAACAAGATAGGTGTGAGCATTTTCTGTCTTGAACTGTGTCACTTACTTTAAGAGGGGAAGAATAAAAAAGATAGATAACTGATGCTACACTGGTAATGAGCAAACTACCAGGTGGGTATTTTGATTCAAACACATATGGAATTCATATGCATTTCTGAAAAGGTGACAAGGAAAACGTCAGTAGAAGAAACAGCAGGTACAGTCTTTATTTCAGCCACCTGCTGTAATGTAACTCATGCTTACAGAAGGCATGAAGTATTACATTCCCCAAACACTGCCAGAATATGACAGAAGGGTGAGATTTCCCATTTAACATTGACCTCATATTTTTCATGTTTTGCATTGCAGAGAGACCTTGCTCTCTTTGACCAGATCTTATTATCCTTCATTTCAGCCTCCAGAATACATATATTATTCCTAAGCTCTTCTTACAGCCTCTTGCAACTGAAAGGATAGTTAAGAAACATTCTATATAATTATAGATATAAAAACTCCTACTCAAATAACAGCAAACTTATGTAAAAATTCTGAATACATTTGACAACACTCACAATAAAAAAATCAATTTCCTAGAAAGCAAATTACATTTTTCATATTTTCTCTGGCTACTTTTCATACAAAATGTCCTTGTGGTTATATTTTATGTACATACTTGTCTGGTTTCAAATCCCTGTGTACAATTCCATAATTATGGAGGTACTCCAAGGCTAAAACAGTCTCTGCAAAGTACATCCTTGCCATGTCTACAGGTAAAGGACCCATATTCTTCATCAAGGTAGCACAGTCTCCACCTGCATAAACATAACACATATTCCGGACAGTATTTTAAGGTATGCAGAAATAAGAAAACATGCTGCAAATGTAAGCATGTGTTGATTTCTAGGAATTACTGCTTCTTCTATAAGGAGAGCAAACATTTACTCTATACCATCAAACCAACTGTGTGCTCAAACACGTATTTTTGCTTTTGCACAGCTACTTCCTGAACCATTTCATTTTAAGTTCACCATGTAAAATATTCTTTTATAAGCTGGTATGGGTTTTGTTTTATTTTGTTCTTTTTTTTTTTTTTTTTGAAAGAACAGACATTAGAAACTAGTGTTGAGCAAGCATAAAGATATGACATGAAACTATCCTATATGCTGAATATGTTCTCAAGGATTTTTTTTTCTGCTTATTTTTGGTTTGCTAACTTAATGCTCTTATGATTTTTGTCTATCAATTTACGTACCTATGTGGCCCCATTCACCCTGGTATATCTGATTGCCACTGATTCTATCTGATAAGTTTATCCTCATGATATCCCTCTGATATAAGTATATATCATTATGCCCATCCCACAGATGGTTGAGACACAGAGATTAATTATGAACACAACGGATGTCTGCGGTGGAGACTAACATGAATCTGGGTATCCTACATTTGTTTCTCCCTATTGCTCTACCTACTGAAGAGGTTCTTTCTACTGTGTGTAAGAGGCTCTTAAAAGATATATTTTTGAAATTTTAAGCTCATTACTGCAGATCATTTCCAGATACAGCCAAACCAATTAGCAAAAATTTCAAGCAACAACATTTCATAACTTTGTCATAATTTGCAGCCCTGTTTCTGATGCTAGGACATTTATGACTACAAACCATAACTAACTTATTCAAAGAACATTTATTTCCCTTTATAGTTGCAGTATGAGCTTTTTACGGGCAATCACTAGGAGATAATGACTGGGAATGAAGCCATCTCATCGCTGGATTTAGATCCTAAGTGTATATTGCCAGCATGCAGAGTACACACAGAGGGGCCTTTTGTAATGTAAATACTGTGGGGGTTGATTTTTCTTTCTTGATGCTTAAAAACCCTCTTCTTCCCACTGTAAAGAGAACAAACATTGTACCTTCCACATACTCCATGACCATACATAAATGGCGTCTAGTTTCAAAAGAGCAGTACATGCTGACGACAAATGGATTTTCTGCAAATGTCAGAATATCACGCTCAACAAAGGCCTGCTGAATCTGGTTTCGGAGAATGAGATTCTGCCTGTTAATCTTCTTCATGGCGAATCTCTGTCTGGTTTCTTTATGCCGCACAAAATAAACCGCGCTGAAAGGGTCAAAACAACAGGAGTTAGAAAAAAAAAGAGTTGGTGAACAGAAGTACATTATACTAAATATATAAAAAGAACATTATTAACAAATCTTTCCATTTTAGTATGTATCCAATATTCTGTATTGTTTCATACCTAAGATGAAGATTCAGTTAAAGCATTTACCACATATCTTTATAAAATAAAAACCAACATCCGAAACAAATAGAGCAAAAGCTCCCAGCTCAAATAGATATTGGGTGTTTACATTTACAGACTTGTGTAGACAAATAGTTGTGGCACAACACAATACTTCTGACAAATGCCTGTTCTTTAAGTATATGTCACAGTTATGACTCAGACTCCATTTCAAGGGATTTTCTGATAAGTCATGGGCCTTTCATGAGGGTTTCATATGTGAAATGCACAAGAGAGTAAGAGATGTTGACTGGGAAGCTACCTCTTTTGAGAGTTGTAAAATGCCCCACCTGATATCACTGTTTCTCCCCAATATCAGCATTTACTACTATGAGGCCATATCAACAATGGTGATCCTATGAAATGAGATTATTGCGGTAACTGCCTGAGATGGGTAGAAATCCCACTGTGGCAATGATAGGGCTTCCTGTAATCTGCATTGGGAGTTGCAGGCTAGAAGCACAGCTAAAGGAAAACATCAGCTGGAAAAACTCATTGCTTTCAGGGTTTGATAAAAGGGATCACACATTCCAGTGCTAATCCCTGCCATGGAGCACTGACATAGGACATAGTTTGTAAACTTCCTAAGAAGCCAGGGAGGCCCACAAGAGAAAAAATAATTGCATAACAAAAACTGAAAGAGTCTACATTGTGCCTCACTTCTTCTGGAGACAGAGTTTCCTCATGAGAGAGTTCTCTTATTGATTTGAATGTTTTTCATTAATCCTTTCAATTGTCTCCCCAGGTGCTGCTGCCATTTCAGGGCAGGGCAAGTGAAAGACTCATAAGGAAACTAAGAGAAAAACACAAGTCAATCTACACCCTTTGTGCATCCTACAAAGTCTCACTCCCTGTATACCTCACCCAAAATGGTTTAAAGAACCGAGTTATTCAACTTTCCAGTCCGTTCTCCTCCCTGATCCCTTCTTACTTTTCTTCCTCAATCTGTTCCCACCCCTCCCTGATATTTACGTTTGTTCTCTAACCCCCACATTCCCTTTGGTTCTCAAAGGGGTCTCAGCCTTTCCCTTTCTTCAGAACACTCTTGTTCTTCCTCTCCCCCTGGTTTTGCAGCCAATTCCTTTCCCAATATCGGCTTTTCTTTTTTTCTTTATTTTTTTTTTCTGTTTTTTTTTACTTTGACCTGTTCCTTTTT